TGTCTCGAAAGCGCCACTTAGGATATAGATTTACATATATAGCACTATTCTAACATAGGTATTTTGAAACAAAATCGGACTTTTTCTGAATACCAATATTTTTCCATATTTCGATTCTACGACTCAAATTATGCCAGAATACCAAGTTTTGAAAAAATCGTACGAGTAGTTTTTAAAATATTAGCTCTCAAAGTTTTAGCTCATCAATGTTAATTGAATTTTATAAATATTTATTAATATCTTATTTTTTATTAAACTTTTATTTATTTTTCCTTTCACATTTCAAATTTGGTTCATTCCAATAACTCATTTTGTGGTTTTTTTATTTTTAAATTTTATAAAATTTTTTAAAAATTTTTCGAAAAACTTTTGAATTATAACCTATACAATTTTACCATCATCTTAAAGTACATGTATTCTAAGCATATCTGCAAAAAATTAGACTTTTTTATCAAATTTTCTAAGATATCCAAAATTGCAATTTTTCCGCTTTCTGAAATTTGGCATCTTTTTTTTTTTTTTTTTTTTTTTTTTTTTGAGCGATAATAACGCAAATGTGGTCTATGGCTGTTTGCTACGTGAATTGCCACAGCATCTTAACCTTAATTTCAAGTAAAATTTTACGGACAATTAATTATATGACATTTTTTTTCCCTCAATGATAGTAATAAATATTATTCTTATGAAAAGCTATTTTTTAAATTATAATGATATTATTCCAAATTTTTAAAAAATTTCTCTCTATCTTCCTTTTAAAAAAAATAATAAGAGTAAATTTTTTTTTAGGCTTTTTATCGTTCTGCTACTTTACTTCGTTTAAAATCGAATTGTCTAAAACTGAGAATTTTCGTTTGATGTTTATTTGAATTTTATGACATTAACTGCATAATTTTATTTCTAAACAACTGTTGCGTTTGAAGTGGCTGAAGAGCGCTGATACTATCATCCATATTTTTAAAGCACAGTATATTTTTATAGAAAGATAAGATTTAGAATAATCATTCTTATAGTCAAATTATGATATAAACATACAACCCTTTAGAGACCGAATTAATGGTTATATAATTCAATGGTTATATAGAAATGATCTGCAGCTACTTAATGTCTCGATAAGTCAGCAGGTTCTGTGGACAAATAAGAATAATTATATAAATGACACCCAACATTCTGGATTCAATTACTAAGGAGGGTACGATGTTTATTAAATAAATTTAAGAAATTTTTAAACATAAAAACCGACTAATTTTTTTTTATCCTAAAATGCATTTTTCTGCGTAATGTACTTTCATTATATCCTTAAAATTCTAATTTAGAATGTAATTGTTAAGACTGAATCCTAATCATCAATACATAATAATATCATTTACCGTTATTAATAAATCCTTCTTAAAGTAATTGCAATATTTCAAAAAACGTTCTGGTCTGAATGCAAATATTTTTAATTTTAGATTAATCAAGATTGCACACGATATTATTTATTTGTACTTCAATTCTTACCGTCAGCTCTAGTAGAAGTTATAAATCAATTATATTTAATTAAGGATTGGATTGGATTATTTAATTATGACAAAGCACACGAGGGCTATCTGTTTTGAGGGATGCCTTCGTGGAGGACTTTCTAAGGAAAACTGGCTCGTCTACATGTTACACATGGGAATAGCCACGAAAATGCCCATGCGGCGAGCCCGTTCGCGGGATTCGAACCTCAGACCGAACTACCAGTGTTCAACATCTTTACCGCTCGGCCGTTTGTGGGCCTTTACGAAATGGAAGGCGATAACTTTAAAATGATTCTCAGAAATATCAAGATATTTCGAAAAGTTGGATGCTTTTTAATATACTTGCAGAATGCCTAAAAAAAAGAGCAAGAATAAAGTAGAATGCCTGAAGAAAAAATAAATTTTTACGTAAAATTTAGTATTTGTATTTTTTTTTAAATCTTATGATATTTGATTCTTGCAATTTTCAAAATAAAATATTTGACTAAAATGAATAACATTTTAAGAAACAAAATGTAGGATAAATTGTGTAAAGCAATGAGCACAATGATGAAACTGTTTTAAAGCAGTGTATGCAAGTCATCCTAAGTTAAAATGTCGGTTATACATCTCTCTTATTTATATGTATCTTTTCTGAACGAACAACAGGAAAGGCGTTTAGTGCTTTACTATATTTCTCTTTTAATATATGCAGTTTTCAACACATCGTAGTCCTGGGTTACAAAGTATTCTTCCGAAAGAACGCAATTCAATAAATAAAATCAAATTCTGGAAAATTTTTATTAATAAATATGTTTAAAATGCTCAGTTCAAAGGAATAAATAGAAATTTTAAAAACAATTATCTGAAGAGACAATGCAACCCAACAATTAAAATAAAAGTATAAAATTTGAAAATTATTAAAATAACTATGACAAAAAAAAATATATAAAGAAAATTTGGAAAAAAAATAAAAATAAACGCTGCCTTTATTTACGCAGTTCGAATAGGTAAATAGAAATTTTTAAAACAGTTATTCGAAAAAAACATGCAAACTTAAACAGTTAAAGAAATTCGAGAAGAAAAAAATTACTTAAAATAATAAGTTATGATTAAAAATATAATATAAAAGAATATTATTTGGGAAAAATGGAACGATGGTGAACTTTTTTTCCTCTCACGGGAAAGGAAACTAGGTTGCCATATTAAGAAGTTCGCCAAGTCAACTATCCTTGGCGCAAACTGAAAAAAAAGTGCCAACATAATTTGTGAATTTCTCCGTAAATTTTCGCTCCAAATTTTACAAATTTTCATATTTAGGCGTAATTTTAAGTTGTAGAATCGAATATGTAAAAAAAAATTTGTATGTTATTTCAGAAAAAAGTCCGATTTTGTGTCAAAATACCTATGTTAGAATAGTGCTATATATAAATCTAACATATATCCTAAGTTGCGCCTTCGAGACATGAAGAACGCAATCTGAATTTTGTCATCGGCCCAGTAAAACGGGAGATATTAGAACTGTCCCCCCCCCCTTTTTTTTTTTTTTTTTTTTTTTTTTTTTTTTTTTTTTTGAGCAGTGTACATGTCGACTTATTTTCACTTAAAAAAAAATGCCAAAATTGTACAAAAATGGCATTGCGCACACTCTTGACTTTATCCATGTACACTGCTAGAGTCCTAGCTAGTAACCTTGATCGCCTTACCAAAATGTTGCCAAACTACCTGTTACCATATTCCAAAGATTAGCCAGATCTTTTCATGGTTAACAGAATTTCAGAAATGAATGTCATTTTTTACCTTGGTGTTTGTCTGAAATGCCCTTTTTTTTCTTTTGATGTGTTGCATAATGTAGGCATTTGATATTCAATTTTTTAACAAATAAAATTACTCTTTTTATAAATTTAGATCAGAAATTTCTCCTTCCATTCAGTTGACTTTTCTACTATGAACTGTATTTTTTGTATGCTGATCCAAAATTTTCGCATACCCAGAATTCAACATTTTCTGAACTTTCCAGATAGTCGAGCTTTTATACTGCATTTGGAAATTATTAGTATTTGTGGGCCATATGTTTGTGCAAGTAAAAACTATGGAAGTTTAATTTATTTTTATTTTCTTTGAAACTGCATCAAAAGGCAGAAGATTTCATTGGAGAAATGTGTATTACAAAAAAGGCTGATTTTGTGTGTAAAGCTGTGATGTAAGGCATCAAATGTGGGTTTATGTCATGAATTATTGCCCTGGTACTGTATATTGTGATTGAGGCATGTGAACTAGCATTATAATATTGGATTCTTTACTTTAACCTGCTTCTCAGAAACCCCTGTAAGATTGTCATCGGCCAGTACAGTCAGTCTAATTTTGCTAACATAAGTCAGTTTTAACCGTAAAAGATTTTAATGTGGATTTTAAAGAGAATAAAAAAAAAATTCCCTACATTAGCTTATTAAATTGGCATCATGTATTGAAAATTTTTATTGTAATTAGACATATAATTGCATAATATTGTTAAGAATTACACATATTTTACATGAAAATTAATGTAACAAATTATACATAATTGTATTAATTAGTAACATAATAACAGTAAAATACCTTAGCTTTTTAACATCACCAGCTTTCATTTCACTTTGGTCACTTAAATATGAACTTATACACGTGTATACTTAAATAATAATAAAACCTTTTTTTTATAAATACAAATAAAACAATCTGAAGAAAAACTGTAGAAATGGTACTTAATCTGCTATCTATCTTTTTTGAAACAGTTTATTACATTCTAATTGCATTACTGCCAAAGACCTCTTTGACTTTACTTTAGAGTATTTTATACTTGTTATTAGTTATAATAACTTTTTTTCCTTTTCTGCTATTGCTGCGTAGGCTATTTATGCACAGCTACTTTCTGATATTTTCATGCAGCTTTTATTAATGGAATTAAATAATATATACTTATATCTGTATATTCAGTACCACTATACACTATAACTAAAGTGAGCTATAGCAGTGTAATAATGAATTTATTTTAGCCGTTTTGGATCAGTGTAAGTATTTTGCAAGAGGCTTTCTTTTCAGTTGCAAACTGCCCCCACTCAGAAAAAGGTGCTATACTCAACCAATCTGTTACTGTATAATTGTGAAATTTAAGATAACATCTATTAGCAGTCATACTGCTGTTTCTCAAAGCTAAATAATTTTTAGTTTTTAACACGTTGACTGCCAACTACGAGTTATCTCATACTGTGTGTACTTGCCATTTTTGTGCAGCTGCGATTAAACTCGGAATATATCAGTGCTAATATCGATAGATGGCTTCTGGGAAAGGAACAGAAAATTTATTTAAAAAAGAACAAAAAATGTAATTATAAAAATTAATATGCCTTCTTGGACCGGAATCCGGAAAGTGCCATGGCAGTCAGCATGTTAATAGCTTAAATATTTTAGAACATACAATTAATAATCTCTATAGGAGTTTAATCCCTAAAATGATCTAAAGTGGTTTTATTTTTTCTCTTCTAGAGCTCTTCGAGAAGCTTTATTAGATGATGATCCTGGTAAGTTTATAGAAAGATTTTTAGTATGTTTCAATGTTTGTTTGAAAGTATAATTTTGTAGAATTAAGCTTTATCTTTTGATGCATCATTAGCTTATTATTTAAATAAAGGAAAAAGAATTGCTAACTTTAAAGAAGTCAATACTATTTTTTATTGTGTAATTTCATAAACATCAGTCAAACTGGAAGAACTATAAAATTTCAGGTTAAGGAACATATGTCATTGTCAGAAAGAGCAAATTTAATAAGTATGCTATCTCTAATAATTAGTTTCTTCACTATAGTTTTAAATTTCTTTCAAGTAAAATTATCCAAAACATTTTTTCCAACATGTGAATTAGAGTGTCCTTTGAGACAATCTACATTAATTAAAATTTGTTAATTTCATTAAGTAAAATTGTGTTCTTTAATGTATTCGAAAACTTTATTTTGCATTAAGGGGCTAAATAAGTTACACTGAAAGAAATGTTTAATAAAGCAAACAAATATTGAGATTTCCCCCAAATTTCGATTACCTTAAGGTCATAAATGCTTTATTATTTCATAAGCAACTATTTCAGATTTTTATAATTTATGAATGTCATCTAACTGGATTTAAACTGATGTTCTAAATGTGGAATCACTGAAATCTTGAGTCTGATTCTCGGAATGGAAAATTTATTGGTCATTTTTCAAGGAGCAGCTGAACAAATTTCAACAGAGCCGCATTTGTCAATTATATATACTGAGTGGTTATAATTAAACTTCCCATATAAACGGCATCCTACAATGCAAACGGGTGAATGAAATGCAGTGAAATTTTTGTATATGAGCTATACACGAGATGTGCTCACGTAATTAAAAAAAACAAAATTTCATTCCAAAATGTCCACCAGAGGGCGTATTTTCAGGAAATTTAATATAATAAACGACTAAAACAGAATACAGAAACAATATTAACATTTATTGACTAGTTTCTGATCACCTTGTCATTGAAGCACATTAAGTAAAAGTAAGGGAAATACAAAAAGAGTTCAGTTTGCAGAAACAAGAAAAAATTAGGATGAAATTGCACAAGAGGAGCAGTTGTTAATCGTGCTTAGAAAGGTGCTCCACGTGACCACCCTCCATTCACTTGCAAAATTTCAAGTCGATGGACAGTGTGTTCAATAGCAGATCGTAACTGATCAGTTGTGAGGCTTTTGCACATGAAGCGTTATGGAGTTCTTTAAGTCATTTAACGTCTCGGACGGAGTTAGATCTGCCGAACGTAGTGGCCATGGAGTGACTAATAACTCATTCCTCTGTGAAGTGTTGGAGCAATGCCTTCACGTACTTATAGATATGTGGGAACTCATTCCTCTGTGAAGTGTTGGAGCAATGCCTTCACGTACTTATGTGGGGGTGCACCATCCTGCAGGAAAATGGTCAATTTAAGGACCTGTCTTTGCTGTAGTCGCGGCATTACAATCATCTGCAGCATGTCATGGTACCAACAGCCCGTAATGGAACATATGACAGGCCCACGTTTACCGATTTCCTCAGAAGAATGGCCCAAGGAAGAATATTGCTGTGCCACCCCAGACAGTGACCTTTGGAGGCTATAGAGGAATTTCAGTGTGGATCTGCAGATGTTCCATATCCCAAATGCAGCAATTCTGTGGGTTTACTGTCCCATTGAGGTAGAAATGAGAGCCTCATCGCTCCACAGAATATTTCAAGGCCATGACAGATCAACAGTCATTTTGTTGAGATAACTGACTGCGAATGAGAAACGTTATGTTTTGTCCCTATCAAGCAGCTCCTGGGTATGGCAGATTTTGTATGGAAAGTAGTGTATTATGTTTCTGAATATTGTTTGGACGGTGCTGTAAGAATAGCCTGTCTGTTGAGAAACTGCATGCGTGCTACTGCTCCTAAACTCTGATGTCTGTGACTGTGTGTCAACAGCTGTCTGTCATTACGGGCATCAACAAGTACTGGTGTGACATGTTTACTCCCTCTTCCAGGTTGAACTCCCAATTTTCCTGTCTCTTCAAATTTCTTAATCATGGACTGGATACCTTTAGTAGACATTGGTCCAAGCCGTAGGTTTTTTTCTAGGATGAAATTTGTGAACTGCAGCAAACGCATTTCCGTTGTTTTTGTAAAATAGCTTCGCTAATAATGCACGTTCAACTAAAGAGACCGTCATTAGGACAGTTGGAAACATCGGCTTCCTATTCTTTCCAAGTATACAAATCTCAACATTTTTCTCTTACAGCTGACAGCTTTTCCCAGTTTTGCATTTTATTATTCATAATTCTTGTTCTGGATTTTTAATATTGTTTCTGTATTCTGTTTTGGTCGTATATTGTGTAAAATTCCACGTTTCCCGAAAAGGTGCCGTCTGGTGGTTATTGTGGAACTAACATTTAGTTTTTGAAAAATTCCACGAGCGCGTCTTGCTTATAGCCCATATACAAAATTTTGTTGCGTTCTGTTTGCTCTTTAAGATGCCATTTATAGGGGATGTTTAATTATAATCACCTTGTAGATGATTATCAAAAGTAACTTTGCAAAGAAAACAAAAGTGAGTGTGGAAGAAAGAATTTTGAAGTAATTTAAAATAATACTTCAGAGTCATTAAAATTTGTTAATATCAATAAAGATGGGCAGTAAAAATTAAGATTGAATTTTTTTAAACAATTATTAAGCTATAATCTGCTCTGACAGGATCCTAAAAACTAAAATCATTGAAATTAGAAACCAGAAAAGCAACTTGATAAATTAAAAAAAGTTGCCTGGTAAACCAGTAAGTTTTTTTAAAATGTTGAATCAGAGAAAAGATAAAAAGGCTTAATACCTGTTGCAAAATTAAGTTTTAAAATAAAAATTTAAGGAAATGAAACCCAATTATTTTATGTCATTTGCTTCAAAAAGAGTCAAGTTTTATAACTCGTAATAGTTCATTGTGTTTTGTAGTAAATGCATAAATTTATTCAGTTACTGATAATTAATTTGTTAATTCATTATTGTTAGTCATGGAATACGGAGAAAATCAAGAATTCAATATCAATGAGAACCTTGTGAAATAAATTTAGAAAGGATTTCAAAGAATTATAATAAATGTAATCATAATAATTAATTGTAGTTAACATAACTGTAATGTCCTAATGGTATACTATAGGTGGACTGAAAGTAATAAATCTCTGTCTTAAGTTTGTCCTTGCACTTTACTCTTTTATATATATATATAGGAAGAACAGCATAACTTTCTGACGTGTTAATTCAAAACTGTATTAAAATAAATGTGCTACGTAAAATAATTACTTCAATGCTAATGGCCTCAAAAAATTTCACTCCTTTCACAGCTGTATTCATAATTATGAAGCTTTTTCTGTACCAAAGCATGAAACAGAAAAAAGAAAATCTGAAAGGTTTCAATTTTTAAATTACGTCCAAAGAGGCTTTTCTTAAACATTTTGTGTGTTACATTTATTTATTAAATATTATGTTCTTCGCACTAAACCATAAAATTCAATTCAAGAGCAATATCGCAAAATAATTTTAAATTGTGCATATCTTTAGAATTTCCAACACAGAGTCAAACGTGCTGGAAATAAAAATGTCTTTTCTGTATGTTGCCATTGCACGCTTTGAAATCCTTGAGTTTGTTAATCAAAAATTCGTTAAAGTTTTACAAAATATGAAATCAATAATCAAACAAATTTCAAATTTGGGTATCCAGATGCCCATATTTGCACAGGGTTCGTAGCGGTCCTTACAAGTGCTTATAAGTCCTTATATTTGAAAATAAAATATAAAGGCCCTTATAGGTGCTTAATTTTTCTTTAAAGCCCTTATTTTTTTGTTTTTGGTGCTTATTTTTTGCTTTTAGTGCTTTTTTTAATGAACACGCATTTCTTCCCTGTACCAAGGCCAAAACTAAATTTATATGCAACGTCAGATGGTGAATCATACTCCCGGAAATTGCTTTTCCCCTTTTCTCTGCATTAACGTAACCTATGGTACGCGCGAGAGTACAGACAGGTGCACGTCGTTCTATTGGTCAAAGAATTGTGAAAACGGTAGAAAATTCCGGTACATTCGGTATTCCTTTCCTCCCACCCAAATACTTCACACGTTTGGATTTCTATCAAGATTTTAATAATTTGCATTCTCGTTCCGCGTGGTCAGTTCGTATTCGTGTTTATTACGATCGTTATGCTTATATTATGAGTATATGCATGAATATTTATAATAATATAGTTGCAGTAACTGCTGAAGTATAGATAAACTTCCAAAAAATGGGTAAGTGTGTTTTAACACAGATTAGGGTTTGCTAAGGAATAATATTCGCAATGGCTTAAATAAAAGGAAAAGTGATCGAATAGTCAAAATAATTTCTTTTTTTTTTTTTTTTTTTTTCTTCTTTCCAATGCATTACACAATACATATATAGTACGGAGGGTTGGGAGGTTTCTTCGCCTTTCTCGAATATTGAAACCGTTACAGTCCGCAGCATAAGCAAGCAACGGAGCAGACTTTTTTTTTTTTTTTTTTGGTCACTGTTTCAATCCTGGAATTGAATAGAACTAAAAGTTTTTGCGGTTCTGCCCAACCGAAGCGAAGTATTGATTCTGTTCCGGAAATTTAATGCAGTCTGTTGAAAATTAGAATCAGAAACACCCCAGATTAGTAAGTCTCTTTCTTTTCCTTTATTTAGTTCTTTATTCTTCGAATACCGGCAGCTGTTGATTCCGATTGCGTAATATCACATGTGGAAGAATTACACGGCACGTATTGCGCAATAACGTTTGCGGTATTTTGCAGGTATAATTAATTTTTATGTTCACTCCGAGATTTGTTTATGAACACTTAAAAGAGTTTTACTGTGCTTTCTAAGCAGAATATTTCTGAGTTCCGTTGCTCTATTTTTATATGATGCACATACCGAAATGTCAAAATAATTTATTTAGCCAAGAAATCTAAAGAACGGCTACAATCTCCCCCACTCCTCTTTTTCCAGTTACTATCCCG